CTAGAAGTAGAATATTGACTTGCTTGTTTTATAAAAAAGGCTTTAAAACGATTTTTTAGAACAATTTTTTAGAACACAATTTTTTAGAACGATTTTTTAGAACACGATTTTTTAGAACACGATTTTTTAGAACGCGATTTTTTAGAACACGATTTTTTAGCATAATTTTCCAATTTTAGAACGGATTGAATGATTTTAAAACTTAGGATTTTAGAACACTTTGAAAATTTTTTATTTAAATATTTTTTTTAATCCATTTAACAATAAAATTTTAATTTATTATAATTTTATTTTTCGATATATTTTACTACAACTGATATATGAATTCTATAAAAGGAAATAATTTTTATGCACGTGATCAGAATATCTTACCTGGGGGTGGGGGTGGATGCTTATAATTAAATGATATTAGGTAATATATGTCACTGCCCTAATGCAACATCAAGTTTCATGTGAAACAAATGAATAAATACTATCTGGTTGAAAATTGAGGACGTTCAGAACAGGCGAGAAGTAATAGAACTTTTTTTATTACGGTGGCTTATTTGATGATGAAAAGTTAACTTGTGTTCTAATATTCATAATTTTTCAAGAAAACACGAATAATGATCTTTAACCGTAAAAATTAAAGACTTTGAACCGATTTAGATTGGCCAAAATAAGTTAATTGAGTTTTATAACTTGCTTGTATTGAAACAGAAATTTAAGCATTACGACGCGAAAAAAGATGATTCTACTTATTTTTCAATTTCTTTTTATATTAACAAAAAAATAAAAATAATTGACGAAATTGTTTGAATTGATTTATTTATATAATTGTTAAATTTTGCATTGAATAGATGAGCATTTAACTTATTCAGAACACTATTCCTTCAAAAATACACGGTGATACTGAAAGTTAATTTCTTGTTCTACAATCTAAACTGCTAGGATAATTCTTCCGGAATGCATTACTTTCCCTTGCAACGAATGCTTTAGTGATTGTCTATTTATCACTTGAGCAATTCGCAAAAAAAAAAATTAAACTTAGTTGATTTTAATTCTACATTTTTTTTTTATAGAAATATAAATAAGTTTTAATACAAATAAAGCAACATTATAAAATTTATCGGATATAAATTATCAAAACGAAATAATTAATCTTCTAGGTTATACTTAAAAGTGGTTCTATAACTTTATCCAGTCAGTTTGTTCTTTGAAGTTGCAACAAATTCCATTTGTCCAAAAGTCAATCCAAATAATACAGGTCTATTGAGACCTGAGCCAGGGAGATCTACGCGAAGTTTTCCTAAAAATTTCATGCCGGGATCATCACAGAATATTCCATCATATTCTTGAGTATAATATATGCGATGTGATAATTTAGTTTGATTAGGAGAAATAGGTTTTCGAGAGCTCGTAATCTCTTGATTAACATTCATTTTAGTACCACGTCGAGCCAAAAGGCTGAACTTGGAGATATATCCATCATGGGTCCTTCTGCTTACTGGATCTCCATTTACCTAATAATAAACGGATTTTTATTCTTAATTAATTCTAGAATATACAATAAGTAGTATAAAAAAAAATAATAATAAAACTTACCCATTTATATCTTGTTTTGATTCCATAAGTATATTTAAGGACTCTTGAAGAAATGATACATTTCAAATTATCATCATCCCCTATATTATTCAGATTATTTGATTTTATAGACAATCCATAAATTACTGCTCCACGTGCAATTGCTGCCATAGGTTGAATAGGGACCGAAATATTATTTACTCGATGAAGAAATTCTTGCTTAATTCTGTTTTGTAAATATCTTGATTCACTAAAACCTCCAACTAAGAACATTGCGGAGCAAGTTTCCTGAGCGTTATCAAGTTGAGCTTTTATCATAAGAAGGATTTTTTGGATGATAGGTTCGAATATCAATTTCATGGTTTCAAAATCAATTTCGACTACCCAGTCGTCTAAAGCTTTTATGATATTCTCATCAGTGATATATTGTTTTAATACAGGGACAGTATCCTGAATATCCAACTCGTACAGGAAATTTGGATCATCTCCCGTAAAAGGAATTTTGCCAGATTTACAAAAATGTTGAATCAGATATTGCATTTGTCCATAATTTTTCTCTTTAAGTGAATCCATAGGCTTGTCTCCGAGCTTTTTTCGTAAATATTTAATAAATTCGGTATCTATAAAAGTACTTCCACAAAAGTCACCGGCTCTCTCAGTTATTTCACCCAATTCTTCTTCATTTATGAATTTACGAGTCGTCAAATCTACCGTGCCACCGCCACAGTCGACAATCATGAAATTGGCTAATGCATTTAAATGATTTAATAAATGAGTCAAAATATTTAAAACAAAATAACTTTCGAACAAAACATACTTCCTGGTTGTGTAAGACCCTGTTCTTGAAGAATATTTTTCATGCAATATACAGCTGCAGCCTCGGCTTAAAATAAAGAAATACGTAAATCAGTTGTTTGAAATAAATTATATAACTGTATAGGGTACTCACGTTCCGTAGTGAATTGCAGGTTCTTCGAACATTCGTCTTTAGTTAACCCAGCATCATATGCACACATTCTCATAATTGCCCTTGTCTTTTCGGAAAATTCTGCAGGAACGGTAAGAACCAAAAGAACATGTTCAAAGAAATCGATTTTTGGCCAACGAATTGATATTGTCTCTTTAATTACCTTTTAAAGAAAATAAATTCATATTGTATGTAAAAATTTAAATACGCGATATCAAATCCAATATACATACCTTTCCGATTTCTCTGATATAATCAGTAATCGCCTTTTTATAATCAACTGAAAGTTTCGGTTTAAAATTATCCAGTATATTTTCCAAATGCAACTTGAACAATTCGACCGGTTTATTTTCATTATTTCGATTTCTATCTCGACGATTTGGCTTCTTAACTAAAGCCGGAGCACCCCATGACCTTACATTGTTATATTCATCGTCATATTGAAGAACTGTGTTGGTTTTTAATTGACCCACTTCTCCATGCCATAAATCGTTTGAACATAGATTTTTCTCTTCTGAAACATGACAATACGTGAATCCAGAGTAGGTCGTACCAAAGTCAAATCCAATCACGACGCGAATACTATCCTCGACCTCGACGGAGCTCTCAGGTTTAGGGATTTCTTCTTTTAAATCCGGACCTTAAATAATATATGAAAATTTTACCTTTAATTAAATAATCCAATTGATTTTTCTGATAATCATGCATACTTTTCTTAAATTTGCTCCATGAACGTTCAGAAAATTTTTTATTTATTTCATCAGCATCTAGCTGTTTATGTTGCTGCATCCTTCCCCAATTTCAAGGTTAAAACTGTTAAAACTTTTGTCTATATTTTTTAAAGCACGATATTTGATCGTTTATATAGATTACGCATCTATCATTTAATGATTTTAATATTTATCAAGACGGAGTCTTAATTAATATTATAATGCTCTCATAGAACTTTATTATTACATTAAAATTGGAAAAAAGACAATTAAATTAATTGATGCTATTATATGAACTGAAATAGAGTTCATTCATATCAAACAATCAAATGCAGAAAATAAAAAATTATTTATCGGTATTTATGTTTAGCAAAGATTCCTTTTGTAATTCCTACCTAAAATAGATATTTTTAATAATACCAAAATAATTTTATCATTTAGCTGTAATTTAACCAAAATTCATTATTTTACTTTGTATTTTTTTTTTTTATGAATGAAGGTTTTTAAGGAAATTTTCCTACAAATCAATTTTTAGACCAAACTAATTTAGGATTCATGCATCTAGTTGTCAAAACATAATCCAGGATAATTTATTAGACTAATTTGCCCCATTGGCATTAATCTCTTATTCTTATCACGTGAAATAACGAAATAAAAATTTATTTAAGTAATTTTTAGTAAAGAAAAATAATATTTTTCGTAAATGATATATTTTAACATTCCATTAATATACTGTATGTCGGAAAAAAAAAAAAAAAAAAAAAAAAAAAATCTAATCATCCAAACTAAACTTAAAAGTGGTTCTATAACTTTGTCCAGTCAATTTGTTCTTTGAAGTAGCGGTAATTTCCATTTGTCCAAAAGTTAACCCAAATAATACAGGTCTATCATGACCTGAACCAGGAAGATCAATTTGAAGTTCGCCTATAAGTTTCATACCAGGATCATCACAATATACTCCATCATACTCTCGAGTATAATATACGCTATAAAGTATTTTTGTTTGATTAGCATAACATGGATGATAAGTCCTCGTAACTTCATTATTGACTTCCATTTTAGTACCACGTTTAGCCAAGCAATCGTACTTTTCAATATATCCATCATGGGTCTTTCTGCTTATGGGATCGCCGTTTTTCTAATAAAGACGTGATTTTTATTACTTTTAGAAATATAAGTAATCATAAATTTAGTAATTTAGTATCAAAATACATACCCATACAGATCTTACTTTTATTCCATAAGTATATTTAAGGATCCTTGAAGAAATTATACATTTCAAATTATCATCATTCCCTAAATTATTCAGGTTATTTGATCTTATAGATAATCCATAAATTGCTGCTCCACGTGCGATTGCTGCCATAGGTTGAATAGGAACTGAAATATCCTTTACTCGATTAAGAAATTCTTCTTTAATTCTTTTTTGTAGATATTTGGATTCACTAAAGCCCCCAACTAAGAACATTGCAGAGCAAGTTTCTTGTGCGTTATCAAGTTGAGATTTTATCATACGAAGAATTTTTTGGACGACAGGCTCGAATATCAATTTCATGGTTTCTAAATCAATTTCAACTATCCAGTCGTCATTGTCTAAAGCTTTTCTGATCTTCTCATCAGTAATATATTGTTTTAATTCAGGCACAGTATCCTGAATATCCAACTCGTAAAGGAAATTTGGATCATCTCCCGTAAAAGGAATTTTTCCAGATTTACAAAAGTGTTGAATCAGATATTGCATTTGTCCATAATGTTTCTCTTTAAGTGAATCCATAGACTTGTCTCCGAGCTTTTTACGTAAATATTTAATAAATTCATCATCAACGAAAGTGCTTCCGCAAAAATCACCGGCTCTTTCAGTTACCTCTCCCAATTGTTTATCATTTATTAATTTACGCGTCGTCAAATCAACTGTGCCACCGCCACAGTCAACTATCATGAAATTAACTAATGTAATAAAAAAAAAACAGGTAATGAACTCATGAATCTATGTAACATGATTAAGCAATGGTAAAAAAAAATCGAGTTTAATTTTTAAAACATACTTCCTGGTTGTGCAAGAGCATGTTCTCTAAGACTATTTTCCATACAATATACAGCCGCAGCTTCAGCTTCAATAAAGAAAAAAAATGAACATCTAAATTATGAAATTTAAATGAAATTATTTTCCGTTAAGGGTACTTACGTTCCGTAGTGAATTGCAGGTTCGTCGAACATTCATCTTTGATCAATCCTGCATTATACGCGCAAATTCTCATAATTGCTTTTGACTTTTCGGAAAATTCTGCAGGTACGGTAAGAACCAAAAGAACGTGTTTAAAGTAATCGATTTTTGGCCATCGTGCAGTAACCGTGTCTTTAATTACCTTTAAAAAAAAATTTTTATTCACATGTGAATAATTCAAAATACATAATACATATAATATTCAATGTGAAATGATGCGTACCTTTCCAATTTCTCTTAAATAATCGGTAATCGCTTTCTTGTAATCAATCGGAAGGTTCGGTTTAAAATTATCTAATATATCTCCTAGATGCAACTTAAACAATTCGACGGGTTTATTTTCTTTCCTATTTGTATCTCGACGATTTGGCTTTTTGGCTAAAGCTGGAGCACCCCATAATTTTACTTGTTTGTATTCGTCATCATATTGAAGAACTGTGTTGGTTTTTAATTGGCCCACTTCTCCATGCCATAAATCGTTTGAACATAGATTTGTCTCTTCTGTAACATGACAATACGCGAATCCAGAGAAGGTCGTACCAAAGTCGAATCCAATAACGACGCGGATACTATCCTCGACCTCGAAGGAGCTCTCAGGTTTAGAAATTTCTTCCTTTGATTCTGGACCTTAAAAATGTGTGAAAAAAATTTTTTTTTGTTTCAATTAAGCAACCAAAACGCTTTTCTTTTTTTTTTTTTCTTGATAATCATACCTTTCTTTAATTTGCTCCATGAACGTTCAGAAAATCTTTTATTTATTTCACTAGTATTGAGTTCAATAACCTTTTTCATCTTTTTAAAATAAATTATTTTGATTTTTATGTATCGGTATCTCTTTGATCGTTTTATATAGATAACGTGCAAGTAAACATGTTATATCGATTATCTTTATCTTTATTCATTAAAATTCCGTATTCTTTCGTGAGAAAATTACTAGATAAAGTGTAATCCGGCCATTACAAGTATTATACTCCGAAAATCTCGAATTGGGCAAATGAAAAATTTATTTTTCATTGTTCAAAATAAAAATACTAAATTAGGAATAAGATAATGAAGTATGAACAATATCATTTTGTAGTTATCAAATTACGTATACCGTGCAATAAAACAATAACAATGAATTTTGGATATTTCATTATATGTAGAGTATACGTATTTTTTCCCACATGTGATTAACAAATGTGATAATTGGGAATTGCTGAAGCCAATATAGGAAAAGAAACAATCAATCTTTACCGACCGGTATTTAAGCCGCCACCGTTATTTTATCATAATGAAACATTTTAGGAATAATGAAAAGGATCAAAATTCATTGTATTGCAGTGGTTATCATCGTACAATGTTATACAAGTGTACTATTCCTGTTCGAATTATTGATAAATACACAAAAAATTTCATCAAGCAAAATTAAAATTTTTTCCTTACTAATAATAAAATAATAAAATATGATAATTAAACCACAAGAAGATTATTATCCTATGGATATCGATATATGTAATAATAACCGCACGTTATCATTATACAACGCGCAACAAACGTATGAAGTACGCGCTAATTTTGATGTACCTAATATTGATTTAATAAAATTTGACAGCGAATCAAATGAAGAAAAACAAATGTTAATTGAGAAAAATAAACGAATTTCAACGGAAAATGAACAAATTAAAAGTTATCTTGGTGATCAATGTAGACAAATTGACGCCTTGAATAATCAAATCAATAAGTTAAAACAAGATATTCAAGATAGGGACGAAGTTATTTGCGAACTAAAACCTTATAAAGATATTTTTTCAACGTCTGAAAGAAAAATTGAATCTTATAAACGTGATAATATGAGAAAAAGCGATGAAATACAAACTTTACAAAATAATCTCAACAATAAAAATCATGAAATTAATGTGTTAAAGGTAGAAATATTGTCATTAGATGATGAAATTAAAGAAAAGAACAAAACTTTAAATGATGAAATTAAGGATCTTAAAAAAAAGAACAAAACTTTAAATGATGAAAATGGCAAATGGCAAAATTATATTGGCAAAGCAACAACCTTTTCTTTAAGTGATGATGATGAAAATCACACCGTTCAGCTTGTAAAAGATATTACAACATTGCAAAGTATGATTGAAAATTATGTTGGGACTTTGAGAAAGGTTGACGTAGACTTTGGCGAAGTAAATAGACTATTACGCTGCCGTGGGTGTAAAGTAGAAGTAAAGCCTATCCAAGAAAATGACTTACCACTCGTAAAAGCTGTTTTACAGTGTTATGTTTTTGATGAGCTAATTAAAAATGCGGATTCACTTTTTACAAAAAATGATTGTTTGGAAGCTAAAATTTATAATCAAACTAAGAGTATCCTTGATTTATTAAATAAATTCTTAAGATCACGTGATGGAACCAACGAGATAACAAATGCTTTTCCTATTAAACTACGTCAACAAATATTTGGATTTCTTGGTAATCTTGGATTTGCAGATACAAATGATCGAATACATGACGTTATAAGTTCTATAAAAGATCGATTAAATGATTCAATTAACAAAATTCGAAAGTACAAAAGTCCACAAAAGAAAACATTACACAATGATATGGCAACTAAATTAGTACGAGAATTCATTAGAATATGTTATTTCCGCTTAAAGGTTCAAGAACCAATTCCCGAACTAAGGTGGTTTTCATGTGATGAGAAAATAGATCCTAAACTTATGAAAGGGAGATGGAACGATGAAGATGAAGATGAAGAAACTGACGATGATTTATTTGTAGAAATTTGTTCCTTCCCTCTTATAGTTTCCAATTATGAAAAAAAAAATCAAAAACTTTATTCACGTGCTAAAGTCGTACACAAATTTAAAAGATCACATGATTCTAATAAAAACTTAATTGCTACTTCCATTAATACTCTTAAAAATTTTGTTTATGATAGCATTTATTCTTTTAAGTCTACGAATGTAGACGAAGTTGACAATCAAAATGGTAAAAATGTTAGTCAAAATGATGATGAATTTTTAAAAACCAATCAAAATGAAGAAGTTAAAAGTGGTAATGTTTTAGATAATAATCAAATTGATAAAAGTGGAAATGGTGAAGGGGATAGATATAGTAATAAAAATGGTAGAGGTAAAGATAAAGATGGAGGTAACAACAAAAATGGTATAAATGGAGATAACAATCAAAACGGTAAAAATGGAAATAACAATAATCGAAATAGTAAAGGTGGAAGTAACAATAGAAATGGTAATGATGGTAATGATAAAGCCAATAATCAAAATGGTGAAGTTGATGGAAATAATAATCAAAATGGTAAAGGTGGAAATAACAATCGAAATAATAAAGATGGAAGTGAAAATCCAAATGATAAAGATGGTAACAACAATCGATATGGTAAAGGCGGGGATAACAATCAAAATGGTGAAGGTGGAGATAACAATCAAAGTGGTATAGTTGGAAATAACAATCGAAATGATAAATATGGAAGTAACAATCCAAATAATAGAGATGGTGGCGACAATCGATATGGTAGAGATAACAATCAAAGTGGTAAAGGTGGAGATAACAATCGAAATAATAAAGATGGAAGTGACAATCCAAATGATAGAGATGGTGGAAATAATCGATATGGTAAAGATGGGGATAACAATCAAAATGGTAAGGGTGGAGATAACAATCAAAGTGGTATAGTTGGAAATAACAATCGAAATGATAAATATGGAAGTAACAATCCAAATCATAGAGATGGTGGCGACAATCGATATGGTAGAGATAACAATCAAAGTGGTAAAGGTGGAGATAACAATCGAAATGTTAAAGATGGAGATAACAACCAAAATGGTAAACGTGGGGATAACAATCAGTATGGTAAAGGTAGAGATAACGATCAAAGTGGTATAGTTGAAAATAACAATCCAAATGATAGAGATGGTGACGACAATCCATATGGTAAAGATGGAGATAATAATCAAAATGGTAAGGGTAAATTTAACAATCAAAGTGGTAATAGTAAAGATGGAGGTAACAATCAAAATGATAAAAACAAAGGTAGAAATAGATTGGGATTCAAAAGACGTAGGTAAATTTAGTTTATATGTTATCATCATTATTATTATTTCTATTGTACATTTGGGAGGTTAGCTATTAAAATCGAGTTCGAACATAGTAAATAATATGATCCGTAACGTGATTTAATAGCTTACCTTTTCATTTATTCTAAAAATATAAAATAAAATAAACAAATTATTATTTACTAATCATAAAGTGGTAGGAATCTGCTTGAAAAGATCAAAATTGAGTTAATGGTTTACTTATGGAGAGCATAATTAACAAATAAATTTGACTTTTTCTGGCAGTTCTTTTTATTGCAAATTTCTATATGAACTTAATAATTACAATATAATAAAAATGCGCGTCGTACATTGATCTAAAAATCAGAAATATTCAAGATAGCATCACATCAAAATGATATTGCTTCTCGCAGTAAAATTTTATAAATTTATTAAATACGGTATATAAATAAATTAAATAATTTTATCATCAAGGTTAAGTTTAAAAGTAGCTTTATAACTTTGTCCAGTCAATTTGTTCTTTGAAGTAGCGGTAATTTCCATTTTTCCAAAAGTCATTCCAAATAATACAGGTCTATCAAGACCTGAACCAGGGAGTTCGATATGAAGTTTTCCTAAAAGTTTCATACCAGGATCATCACAATATTCTGCATCATACTCACTAGTACAATATAAATGGTGAACCATCGTTGTTTGGTCAGGATGAATTGGTAAACGAGAACATGTAATTTCTTGATTGATATCCATTCTAGTACCTCGCCTGGCCAAGCAATGAAAACTTTCAATAAATCCATCTCGTGTTTTCCTATGTATGGGATCTCCTTTTTCCTAAATAAAAAGTAATGTTACAAAGAAAATATTAGGTATTCTCATAAAAATAAAAAAATAAATTTACCCATTTAGTTGTTGTTTTAATTCCATAAGTATATTTAAGGACCCTTGAAACAATAACACATTTCAAATCGTCATCATTCCCTAAATTATTCAGGTTATTTGATCTTATAGATAATCCATAAATTGCTGCTCCACGTGCGATTGCTGCCATAGGTTGAATAGGAACTGAAATATCCTTTACTCGATTAAGAAATTCTTCTTTAATTCTTTTTTGTAGATATTTGGATTCACTAAAGCCCCCAACTAAGAACATTGCAGAGCAAGTTTCTTGTGCGTTATCTAGTTGAGCTTTTATCATAAGAAGAATTTTTTGGATGACGGGTTCAAATATCAATTTCATGGTTTCAAAATCAATTTCGACTACCCAGTCGTCTAAAGCTTTTATGATATTCTCATCAGTGATATATTGCTTTAATTCAGGAATAGTTTCCTGAATATCCAACACATATTGAAAATTTGGATCATCTCCCGTAAAACGAAGTTTGCCAGATATACAAAATTGTTGAATCATGTATTGCATTCGTCCATAATGGTTCTCTACAAGTGAATCCATAGGTTTGTCTCCAACTAATTTTCGTAAATATTTAATAAATTCGGCATCGATAAAAGAACTTCCACAAAAGTCACCGGCTCTTTCGGTTACCTCTCCCAATTGTTTATCATTTATTAATTTACGAATCGTTAAATCTACTGTGCCACCACCACAGTCGACTACCATGAAATTAGCTGTGTAAAAGGTGTAAAATTAGTCAATTTATTTGGTATTCTTAAACAAAGGTTAAATAACGAACAAATTTATTTCAAAAACATACTTCCTGGTTGGTCAAGAGCATGTTCTCTAAGGCTATTTTCCATGCAATATACAGCTGCAGCCTCGGCTTAAATAAAGAAAAGAATAATACATACGTAAATAAATCAGTTGTTGAAATAAAGTATATAACTGATAATGGTACTTACGTTCCGTAGTGAATTGCAAGTTCTTCGAACATTCTTCTTTGATCAAACTTGCATTATACGCGCATATCCTCATAATTGCTTTGGATTTTTCAGAAAATTCCGCAGGAACGCTAAGAACCAGAAGAACATTTTCAAAGTAATCAACATTTGACCATCGTGTAGCAACCATTTCTTTAATCACCTTAAAAAATTTCGCTCATATAAGCAAAAAATTGAAAATGCATAATAATATAATAAATACAAACAAACAATTTTTAATCGTACCTTTCCGATTTCTCTTAAATAATCAGTGATCGCTTTTTTATATTCAACTGGAAGTTTCGGTTTAAACTTATCCATTATATCTCCCAAATGCAATTTAAACAATTCAACGGGTTTATTTTCCTTGCTAATTTGATTTTTTTTCCGACGATTTAGCTTTTTAACTAAAGCCGGTGCACCCCATGAGCTTACATTATTATATTCATCGTCATATCGAAGAACTGTGTTGGTTTTTAGTTGGCCTACTTCTCCATGCCATAAATCGTTTGAATACGGACTATTTTTTTCTGTAGCATGACAATATGCGAATCCAGAGAAGGTGGTTCCAAAGTCTAATCCAACTATGACATGAACTTTATTATCTGAAGAATTCTTCTCCGTGTTAAGATTTTCGACATCATTTTTCAATGCTTGAATAAAAAAAAAAAAATTTAGTTCCGGATCATTAGATTAGTTTGCATGTATTATCATTTTATTCATACTCCGTGAACGTTCAGAGAATTTCTTATTTATATCGTCGTTGTTAACCATAGTTTACAAATTTACAAAATGAATCTGCAATAAATTTAGACGTATTAATTAATTTAAGTCAGGAAGTTTTTTTTTTTTATTTTGGTATTTTTGGGGAATGTGGTGATTTTATAGAGAATTTTCTTTATATTAAAAATTTAATTTTTAATTTTTAAAAATAAGAAATCGATCTGATCGTCAGTTTTTTTAATTTCTCGGAAAGCTTTCTGGGAAATTTGATTATTCGATATCATCACTAAATTCGATAAGGAAGTTCTCTGTAATCTAAAAATATTCCGCGCATTTTTCATACCAAATTAGAAACAAGACAATTAAAAAAATATAAATGGGTTCTAAATGAATGAGGAATAATTATAAACAATTCCGGATAATGAAATATTAAATTTGGAAATTCCATACATAACCTATGTGAAAATATGCATTTAGAGAATTTATATTTAATGTAGAATCAGAACTGACTTATTTATTTCACGCATCCTAAGAAATGGCTTCGACAAATGATATTCATGTAGTGGCTGCTATTGGTATATACGAATTTTATTTTAATAAATTTTAACGAAAATAAAATCATTTATAAGTTTTTTTTTTTTTTTTTTACAAAAACTATCCCTTTAAATGTGATGTGTTGTTTCGTGTTTTAGATTTTGGAACTACGTATTCGGTAAGTTCTTTTAAAGCATCATTCGCAGAAATAAACTAATGTCCTAAATGCTTTGCGCCTATAAATTATAGGGATTTGCATACGCACATAAGAAAAGTCCCGATGATATATTATGTCAAGGTTTTGAAGAAAGTTTCAAAACGCCCACCGTACTTAGATACGACGAGAGTTTTAACGTAACCTCATGGGGATTTCCAGCGTTATCAGATCGAACATTTCGAAAATCGAAAGAATCAAAGTCGGTAGAACTATTTAAATTGCATTTAGGAAATATCGAAGAAAAACCATATTTGCCCGAAGGGTTGGATTATAAGAAAGCCATTATAGATTATTTACATGAAATGGGTAAATTGTTGAAAGAAAAGCTGAGTAGATATAAGTTCCTGGAATTTTTTAATCAAGTTATTATCATCTTGACGGTACGTAAGAATGTTAAGTTATTTTGAAATAAAGATTTTCCCGTCTCGTGATTAAAAATTTTCGCAATCGATATATGATATATAGGTACCTGCAGAATTCGATAATAATGCAATATCAGTCATGCGTGAATGCGCTTTTAAGGCTGGATTAACGAAAGAAAAGAACAGTAGGAATTTAAAATTTACTACGGAACGTAAGGGATTTCACAAATATACTTGATATATATTATGATTTCACATTATTTCATTATTTAAAACTAAAAGGTTTTGTGTAATCTGTTAATATGTTAGCCGAAGCTGCTGCGATTCATTGTATGAAGTTTTTAAGTGACAATGGAATAACATCGGGAGGTATGTAGAATTTGAACCGACCATTTTTTTTATCAACATCCGATCAGCTTTAACCGATTACATCACTTTTATTATAGATTCGTTTATGACAGTTGATTGTGGTGGCGGGACAGTAGATTTAACGACGCGACAACTTTTATTTGACAACGCACTCGGTGAAGTAACCGAGCGTACTGGAGATTTTTGTGGTTCTAGTTACGTTGATCAAGAATTCATTAAATTCCTTGAACAAAAAGTCGGAAAGTCTGCAATTGAACTTTTAAAGAAGAATCATTATCGTCAACTGCAGTGTTTAATCCAAGAATTTTGCAAAAATGTTAAGCTATCTTTCACAGGATATGAAAAAGATTTTAAGTTTACTGAAATAGATCTTGGAGGTAAACATTCTTGATAAATACGTATTTGATTTTCTATTTGATTATATAATTTATTTTTTTTGAATTTTATCATTTAGATCATTGTCCAGAATTGAAACAATATTGCAAGGACGATGTTCTTATGGAAATGGAAGAATTAGAATGGCTTATTGAACTTACTTTTGATGATGTTCGAGCCATGTTTGATCCTATTATTGCAAAAATTATCCACTTAATTCGAGGTCAATTACGTTCAAATGATAAATGTTCAGCAATTATTATGGTTGGCGGGTTCAGCGAATCGAAATATTTACAAAAAAGGATTAAAGAAGAATTCCTAGATTTTGTGCAAAATATTTCGTTTCCGACTAATCCAATTTTGGCAGTAATTAAAGGGGGTAATTATTTTTTTTTTTAAAAAAAAAAATTGCTTATTATCCGAACATTTTAATCTAATATCGAATGATTTTAAAATTATTTCACTAGCCGTTCAATTTGGAATGAAGGAACACGTAATTACAAATCGTGTTTTAAAATGGACATACGGTATTGATGATGATTATTATTATACCTTTTAAAATCCGCAAATCTTTTTTACAAATTGTTTTTTTTTCAGGAACTGATATTGCCCGTAAATGGGTAGCAAACGACCCAATATCCAGAAAATTACCAAATGGTATGATAAAAGTATTCCATCCTTTGGCCAAGAAAGGATCACATCTTACAAGTAATGATGAAGTGACAACAGTATTTAAACCTTATTCTCTTTTTCAAAGAAAGATTTCATTTAATATGTATCATACATCACAATTTGATGCCAAATATTGTGATGAAGATGATGATGTAAGATTGCTTGATAATTGGGAAATTGATATACCAAGATTAGATGATTTTGATGATCAAATAATTTCGCTCACTTTAAATTTTGGAAACGTAGAAATTTTAGCCAAAGCCGAAAACCAAAAAACTGGTCAAAAATACGAAATTAAATTTAATTGTGGATAATTTCAATTTTTTTGTCATTATTGTAATTTATTTAATTTATTATTATCGTTATATTTTCATATAATTTCTTTATCAAATAAAATGATTTCTTTTCTAATCGGTCGTGAAAACTTAACATTTTATTATGATGTTGTGACTGAAATTGATTTTCGTCTGAAGTTGGAATTCAAATTTCAAACACCCTTTTTGTTATCTGAATTCCAACTAGCATAGGTAAAGTTTGATATCATTGGCTGAAGATCATCGATTGTGATTGGTTGGTTAGATTAGTTAAATAATTACGCGTGATTTTTTTTTTGTATCACATTTAATTATTGCATGTATCGCAATGGCAAAAAAAAAAATGAAGGTCCGTGTTCTATACAAAATTGTAATAAACAAATAGGCCGCTTTCGTCAATTTACTTCCTTAGCTTATAAAAAA